CCCACTTTGCCGCCAACTTCACATTATCCAATTAACCTACTCCTCCACCTCATTCCTATGTCACCAGAAACCGTTTTCTACCCCATATTAGCACCAGAAAAATCCGTCAAACATTGCGCTGTCTAAACGCAAACAAACCATCCGGTACGGAGGGTATTCCACCCATTGTCCCCAAAATGTATGCGTTGTCTTTTTAATCGCTCCCTCCAACTTTCTACTTTTTCAACCGCTTGGAAGAACGCCATGATTTTTCCCATTCTCAAACGCGGCGACCTTTCTGGCCTCAAAAATTACTGACCCACTTCCCTGTTCTTTCGAAAGTATTTAAAACCATAACCTTCGACCAACAACGCATGTTCCTCGAATGTGAAGAATTACTGAGTTACCGCCAGAACGGCTTCCGACGGCACCGTTCCAAGTAACTTGATGGCTCTTGCCTCAAAATCCTGGTCGGCTGCACTCGATAACCGTGAAGAAACACACTTGGTCTCGCTTGATATCTCAAAAGCCTTCGAACGAGTTTGGCACGAAGCTCTACTGACGAAACAGCCCATGTCCTGGTTTCCTCACGCGCTCGTGGATATAAAGCTTCCTCAGTAAGCGAAACCTATCCGTCCGAGTTTATGGGGTTCTATCTCAGACGCTGCCCGTGAATGCTGGCATTTCCCAAGGTATTTGCGCCTTTCGTCTATCCATCAATGACGTTTCTAAAACCATCAACTCAATTTATTCTTTTGCCGATGACATCACCCTCCATTTCTCCCTCTCCTACGCAGTACTCGCCATGCCGAAAACGAAATCGGTCATGACCATAGTGCAGTGAATGTGTCACCAAACTCCGACCTGGAACACATCTCCTGGGGCAATATCAACCACGTTTCATTCGATGCTTCTAAAATCTCTCAGCTGTCAAGTTCTCTAAAATACCATTCATTCTCTCCGCTCCCACCACTTATCCTCTGACTCCACCCAAATGCGTTCGAAAAACGTTGTTTCCCTTCTTCGATTGCTCTTCTACTCTACAAAGCTCAAATCCGCCCTGTCCTTGAACACTGCAGTCAATAATGAAGTGGGGCTTTCTGTTATTCTCTTGACCTTCATAAAGGTATTCAACAAAGCGCTATTCGGCTGATCGATGATCCGTTCTTAACATCCAATCTGCAGTCATTAGCCCGTCGTCGGGCGGCTGCTGCATTGGCCCTGCTTTACCGTTTCTACTTTGGTTTCCGGAGCTTGCCTCGGCATTTCCTCTTCGTGTAACTTTTTCACGGCCATCTCGTAAAAATTATCAAATTTCGGTTCACAGATGTCGTACCTCTCTGCTTTTCCTCAGAAGTGCCAATTTGTGGAACACCCTCCCACTTTTCGTCTTTCCCCCAACTTAGAACCTTACACTATTCACACACAATCAATAAAACGGATCTTGCGTGAATGTTCCCCTACTGCCCCTTTTACAGTTTGCTTTTTGTTTATGGGTATTATCCGTTCGTCGTGTGCCCAATGCACCCGACGATCCATGCCCAAAAAATAATGAGATTCTTTTAGTGGGCACGGCTTAACATTCATACACTTCTCTATTCATGAGCTGATAACTTCTTAGAATACTCATGAAAAGTATCTCACCTATAAAGTACAAACAAAAGCTACATCATCACAGTCGTAATGCCTGTGGACACGCAGATTAGCATGCAACAAAATAAAAAGAATAAAACAGATGCAAACACAATTTTCAGGATCGAATGCCATTGCCCAGTATTCATCAGCTAGCACTGTTGGTCATTAAACTCGCACAGACAGAGAGATACTATCGGTGGTTAATACGATATGTACATCCGATAATATTCAAACAGCGATCAACCGATCCAAGTCGAACGGAATCCTACTGGCTAGCGAGTGTGCTTAAATCAAACTAAAGTAGTAGGGGCTACGGTCAATCAATAACTGGGAAAATAGGGTGGTGATGCTAGGAAATAGAACCACGAATTATAAAACGATGACCTGCAGGTACCGGGAAGATCAGCTTTGGTTCCCCGGCGAGATGTCATACTTCCTACAATAAGTGGTTTATTGCTCCGTGTTAGGGTTTCCGACCGAGGGTTTTAGGGCGTACTTTATCAATGCGATTCACAGGTTTCATTACCTCTAAAGTGTATCAAATCAAAGCGCAAACTGGGAAAACCCCGTTTGTCAATGGTTTGATCATGGGGAAGAATCATAGTCAGTGATCGTATCAATCGAACCTGAAAACATCTCCATAGGCAAGACAATTCCGGCTGTTCATGGGCTTTTTGGTACCTAATTCACTTGTCTGTACAGATGCCTCGGAACACGACTTGAACATCATATTAATATAGCGTAATTCTATCACAAAAAGTACTGATCCACAAAAGCAAACACACAGTCAAACAGGCTCTGTACTTTGAAGGATTCCAGTTTATGAGAAAACGATAGTCTTGGTCATGTGACGAAACTGAGGAAGGCAAAAGAGGGAACAAATTTTTCGATCCGGATTCAGCACAAAATCATGTGATTTCGAAAAGGAGGGGGCTGAATACATGGAAAAAAATACCCGGAACATACTTGACTGTTTTAAGCATGGCCAATCCAAAATCCACACACGATCGAGCATGATCAACTCGCGTTTCTGGATAGCCAGCAATACACATGTACTCAATCGCATTCAGTCGGGTTCGATAGCATCCTTCTGTACGAGCCAATCGGTCGAAACATCCAAAGATATCATTCAGAAAGGCCACAAATTGTTGACAACCGACAGTTCCCGAACTGGCACTAGCCACAACAGAGGCCACTGTGGGTAGACCGACAAGTTCAACACTGATGAAACTGTAACACAGAACAGAAGGGGACACACATAAATCAGATAATGCAGGAGATTCGTTATGGTATTAAACAGATACATCGGAAAGGACAGTGCACAGTGAAAGCATCCAATTAAGTATGAGCACATGAATCTGCGTCCTGAAAAACACACAAGTGTGTAAGGAACAGGTCAAGATTAGAAATCATAACAGCTACCGGTAATGCTGTCGAATTGTGAAGCCTATATCGCTCCACGCTTTGAATCACTGAATGAGTATCTATCAACTGAGAAACAAAGGCGTCTTCCGAATTGAAAACGTTCTGGTTTTATCAAACAGTTGTGAGCTCGCATTTCGACTCGCAAGAAATGGTGAGATAAACACAATTTTTTTATTTCTATGCTATTCACAGTTACTTGTGAGTAGCTGTGTGGGATAATTAACATTGATTTAAACTGGTCATTCTTTGGACCTCACCTTCACGCACAATCCCCAGTTCACCCGGTCAATCATGCACTCGAAAGCATTAGACTCGAGTTTCGCTCTGATTAGAGCTCATCGGTATTGCATCTCAACCGTCCCTTCCGAGCTTTTAACTTCGAACGCATTACATGGAAGGCGTGAGTATTACCACTATGCCAACCAGTGCATACCAGAGCTGAACCGCGGAACCACCACACACAAGTAACTGTGATTTAAATGTGGATTATCAATCTAGCCTAGAAGATTTATGGTAAATCAGCCCGTAACCTGCATGGAGGACCCGATTTGGTAGGAAGCTTGCGATTAGAGTTAACTGTCTCCCTCCGTTGGTGTCGGGTCCAAACTGAACTGACTGATCATCACTGAAGAAATCTGAACAAACACGAATTGGCGATTCGGTCAAGTCCTAGTTGGCACAGTGGCAACACACCCTCCATGCAACGGTGGGTATGCACAATTGATGAGCCCTACTGAGAGCAAAACTAGAGCCTAGTCCTTCCGAGTGTACGGTTGAATGGATGAACTGAGGATTGAGCGTAAAGTTGAAATTCACAGAATGGTCAGTTGAAATTAATGTTATTTTTTGATTCTTGGTTTTTCGATTGATGGCATCCTCAACTGATTAAGTTAATCCTACTATTCGTAAGCAGCCTAACCAAGCACAGTTCTAATAAGGACTCGCAAGTGATGCCTAACCATCCACTCCATCAAGATGTGAACACTGGACTGATCGACCGCTGGAACGGTAAACGCGTGTGAATCTTAATACTTTCACAAACAGCTCAAAGTGAGTTTAGTCAGAGATGTCCATTCCTGTTTGCTCAGATGATGCCTTCAATGCCATCCAGTCAACTTTAGCCAGGATAGTAACGACTGTAAACACTGTTAGCTATGTCGTTTCCAATGGAAAGCTTATTATTTGAACACAGAACAGAGAATTGTGAAATTGCACGATGTATTTTCTGCTATAAGCAATAACTGAGATGATTCTGGAAATACAGAGCACGATATCGCAATTCTGTGTTCTTCGTTCAAAATTTCACAGGGAAAAGAATGTTCCGATTTTCTCAAATACCGTCTCATATCATGACTAAATCATTTTATTAATGGAGGTATTCAGATATATGACTCTAGGCTCTCAGAAGGCTACTGTTCCTTAGAAGATGTACGAAAGCCTTATTTTTGCCCAAAAGATTCTCTTATAGAGTACTCTTGTTAAAGCCTGTGCGCAGAATCCTTGCACCCTGTCTCCCGTGAGGAAGGTATTTTCACCAAAGTAACAAAAGTTTTTTTGGTGCGATGAGCCATGGATGACTAGTTCATCAAGATCAGATGGAAAACGACTGCTCCAAACCTCGGGTAAAAAGGTGTTACGTATACAGCCAGGGAATAAAACGGATCAGTTTGATGAGGCGTATTCTGGATTCTGAACGTGTGAAACAGGCTCCAATGGCTTATCATCCTGATGAGCGGAAATCGGTTGCCAATAAGCTGCGGCTTTTACACACTGTCCTGCTGCATTGAAGGCCAACCGGTGCTTTGCCAAACGCGTAGGTTGTAAGTTTCTAATGATACTTACTTGCTTTGGCATGACTGACTGGCAGTTAAAATCTACAAAAATTGTCTTTATAAATGTTACACGAAATCCTCATCAGATCAAGCCAGTTATGATCTCGGTCAGAATCGAACTCGAGTTTCGGTAGAGCTTATCAGCCATACGTATTAAATTATCCACGTTGGATTTGAGCTGTGGGCCCTTCGTATGGAAGACGCATAAACAAACCTGATACATGCTAAATGGAGCTTAGCAATGAACACCAATATCTCAATGTTCCTGGTAAATGTATGCCGTCCAACGATGTTTGCTCCATTTTTTCTAAAAGTCCAAATAAAGGAAAACTTAGATGTAGCTCATCGACACGTTCATTAAGCGAGTATACCAGCTCCTTGTCTCAAGTCCTCATAACCATTGTGCATGTAAAATGCACAACCCAGAAATACACCTAAGTGTGATGAGCAGCAGATGGGGTAAACCCCATGGTCACGAGGACTGTTCAGTGGTGAAAACCGGTAACCTAAGCCCCGGGACTTGGAGAGGGCGAACCACATAAGGCCCCGACAGGTTAGGCGTGGTATTGAACCGGTCGACAGCAGAGCTGCCTACCACCAAAGTCGGGTGGCGGGGCTCGAACCTCGGACCACAGGGTCCAAAGCACGCCGATGACAGCGACTAAACCACTGAGCCACCACCACCCATGCATAAGCTATGATGAACCTGTTCTACACAAAAGAGTGTTTTAAGAAAAAACGCTAGGATATCATTGGAGTTTCTCCAAGACTTTACTGAATCGCTTTCAAATCGCTCCTCGTCAATCCACGAGACCTATTTCCACATTGCTCCTCTAAAGCGCTTGCCGTCATATTCAGATAGATGAGATATAAGAGTAGCGCTCGGGTTAAAGATGAGAACGGGATCCACTTGCCTGACATTGCGCAAATAGATCACCAATGGTGAGCTCCAAGCCAAGTAACCAGCAACAAAGTCTTGTGCAAGATCTTTGGCTAACGATATAGGGACCAGGGTTTTAGACAGTTGTATCTGAGGAACGGAAAAAAATAGGAAGAGGACAAGATTATAAACAAGTAGGGAAAATTGCAATAAAAATGTTAATCCAAACTGCTATCTCACAGATCAACATGACGAGAATTTCATGGTCTAAGGTTTACATTTGCAGACGTCACGTATGTAGTAGTAGTAGTCTGTGTGCATTTAAAACAGGTTGGTCGGTATTGCCAAAGAATAACATTTCGTGATAATAAAGATAATGTTTCACCGGTATGAGGACTTTACAAGCAACTTTACGATATTCACAACACTGGTCTCGATTCAGAACCAACGGACGACATTCAACTTTTGGAACTGAGGCATGCATCGGCGGCCACATCCCGTTCGTATTCCTAGGTCAAACAAGGTTGACGGTGACCGAGCTCGATGAGAGGGCATTCTACATGCGTGTCTAAGGTGAGCAGCGATGTTCGTCAAGGGTACAGTATTTCGCCATTTCTGTTCAATTTCGTCGTAGACAAAATACTGGGGAACATGATAAGTGATCTCCAAAATGTTGGTACTGAATGGCGAGCTGGAGAAAAGCTGTGCAACCTAGAGTACGCTGACGACATCTTTTGCATGAAGGATGCACAAAGAACACTTGACAGACTAGCAAGTTCTCTTGCTCCGTTTAGCATGCACTTTGCACCTTTTACTTGTAAAGCGATGCTGTAAAACTGGGTGTCCCCGAGTTCCGTTCTGAAACTAGGTCAGGAATTAGCTGAAGTCCACTGCTTCTCGTAATTCGGTAGCGCATCAAAGGAGATAACCGCCGCGTTTTAAAGGATCGAACAGCGTACGTAGGACTAAAACACCTAAGGCGACGACGTAACGTTTCACTGAAGTTGAAAAGTCGCGATACTGTACGATCAGTTCTGATTTACGGTTGAGACCTAGAGTTTGCGGATTGAAGACATCCATCGCCTAGTGGTTCTCGATAATCGACGCTTACTTGGACTGACTCAACTGGGATGGAGTGAGCGAGCTAGTAACCTAGAAGTCTTCGGGTGTTTGGGAATGCATAGAACAGGGACTCACTAGAGCATCGAATTCGGTTTATTAAGCTCCGTTGGTTAGGACACGTTTTGCNCGTCTTATTTGCAGTGGCAGACTGGAGAAAGCCACGTGGAGGCCAGTAGGTGACTTGGAGCCGAGGCATGAAGAAATGCACAGAACGTTTAGGTAGAGTAGGTGTCTCTCGTTTTCCGGGTTGGGGTCCAACAGACTCCACAACTGGATGGTTGGATACATTGGAGGTCATGGAGCACGAAAGTGCATGGTTAATGGTTGCAAAAACTGAACTGAAATAATGGCAGCAAACCGACAGCCTGGGCTATTCCTCTGTCACTTGTTATCAGACCAGAATGCTAGAAACAGTGTGTTGTGTGTA